ATGGAGCGAAGTAGATTTCCGCGGAGGAATCGAGTTGATTATAAAGCACTAAATGTTCTTTCTACAGTGGATTTAGAAGTTCATTTGAAAGGAAGGAGAAAATTTAAAAGCGGATCTAAAGTTTATTTTGTGGAGAGACTTATCAGCCGGCGAAGATTGAAGAACGAGGTATGTGTATTGACCCTTTTATGTTCCTGCAGCTATATTTTACTTCGGATGAAATTTATACTACAATCGAAGTAAGTTCATAAACAGCTCTAATCAATCTCTGACAATTTCAGGACTTTGAATACCTAGTAAAATGGAAGGACTGGCCATTGTGGACAAGCACGTGGGAGCCTTCGGCTCATTTGAATGAGCATCTTATCAGGTATATTTAGTTTGTTTTCGATGGTGATTTTAAGCTTAAATGTGAGCTTCATTATAGAAGATGGTTTGATCGTCTTAACCGTAACACGTTTTCGATTCCAATCTTATGTTTTGTTTTCTGCATTAAAAACTTTCTAGGGCATACAGCAACCCCACTGTTACCGTGGAAAGACTACAGAGCGCATCAGTTGCATTTCTGGAAGGCATTCTTTCAATCCTAAAATCGAATGCGGTTAAAGTTCTTTATTCCACTGAAATTAGAATGGATCATGATATTGTGAGATACGTTTTTAAAGGAAAAGGTAAAAGAGCAGAAGACGGAGTTAGTATACTCTATGAAAAAAATGATTTTACTCGATTTGAACTTCCACCATATTGGTACTATTATTTCAATCAACTTGGACAAGGAATAGCAGTTGACTTTCCTGTTAAGTTAAAAACTGTCCTTAACAATTCAAAAAAACGTTACGTTTTATCCAGTGGTCAGGTCAAAATTGCTCCAAATTTTCCAGTTGAAAAAGTTATGATATATGTCAACAGGAAAGCATGCGATTGTAAAAACATTTAATTTATCTTAGAACAGATAAATATAAAACAAGAAAATCTACAAAATAATTTTGCAGAGATTTCTAGTGGAATATGTGATTGCAACAATTGAAAATCAAAGAAAGTTATATGCTTTATGATTAAATACACTATATCAAAATTATTGTTATTATTTTGTTGTAAGCATATAAACAAACAAAAGTTTAGTATTCATATTAGCATTAAAAATTATTCACAAGATATTTTTGCAAATAATCAAATTAAAAAATATATTTTGTGATACATGTCTGCATATCTGTTGTTCCTTTGCTTGCCATAGTTACTGATTTTGCTTCAAAATCTCAACCAATTGACATTTTTTCAGCTTTGCAATCCCTTTCACATTAATACCTATAGATTTGATTTCCTGTCTTAACTGCTTAACAGTCATTTTGTTGTATTTATCTTCGCTTAAGTTATTTCCTTGTACATCAGCTCCATTGTGGTCATTTTGTAGTTCTCTTAAACATGCCCTCTTTCTTTTTTTTCGTGTCTCGATGATGCCATCCTCCCAGTAAGCTGCTTTTCGTTTGGTGTACTGCCTTTTTTCTCTCTCGCAGTGCTTTAGTGCCTCCTGCCTGTGTTCCAGAAGCAGAACATCCTGAGCCGCATCCCACTTATTTGATTTTTGAAAGTATATTTTCTTGGCATCATCATTATTTTTTTCAATGCCTTGACCAGTGAACTGTCTGAAGTTTTTATGATTTTTGATGAACATTGGTACATGATATACTAATGCATGCATGTAAGGAGTCACTCTCTTCTTTTCATATCCTATTCGAACACCACCAAGTGAACAAAACAAATTTACAAAGTCTTTAGATTTCTGGAAAATGTCAAGGTAAAAGTCACCAGCATTTGAATCAGAGTTGATTAAACTGTAGAGTGTATAAAAATCTTTCCAGAGTTTGATGACTGTTTCTTTTGTTTCTGGGAACAGGATATCTAGTTCTTCGAGTTTTGCTGGCAAAAGTTTTGTCAGCTTTTTCTTGTCAGACCCAACAAGGCTAGTCCAGTCATATGTTCCACTGCCTTTCCCATCAGCATTTTTTTTCTCCCAGAGAGAAAAAGTTATGCCGAGTTCATTGATTGTTTTAATGAGAATGTCAAGGTTTACACCCTTTTCCTTACCCCGAGCCATGTTAAAATCTTGCTTTGCATCCTTCTCCATTACTTCTGTGATTAAATTTTCAGTCAGTTTGTCAGTTACTCTCAGCATTAAATGCAATTCATCAAGAATAATGTGGTCAAGCTCAATAGTAAACAATGGACTTTTCACACATGAAAATTTCTTTGAAGAGGAACTTAACTCTTTAATTTCTTGGAGTGTTCTCTTGAGCTCTTCGTTATAATGGGACAGATCTTTGGACATGTCCCACCTGAAAAGCTTGTGCACCTTACACCAAAGGCATGCATAGTCTGAGGTAGCCCCAGACATCCCCATGGCCATCAGCAAGAACTTGTAGTCTCCACCGAGAAATAATTGAACAGCTATTTCTTTGTCATTAACCTTGATCTTCCCATTTTTATTCACAGAATTTATGTCATTGATAATTTCTGAAAATGATGTCTCAATTGTTTCATATTTTTCAGGGCCATTGACTACACCAATTGTCCTGTTGCCCTTTGATGACATAACTAAATCCCCTGTTTGAAGGAGTGAGAATGACATTATCATAAAATTTGCTGACCTCGACATCTTCGCACCATCACAACTGATCTTTACCTTTATTGGTTCATCACCTTTGTGGTTTGAATTTGACTCCAAAAATTGTTTGATGTGATCTTGTAGAGTTTCAGAAAATGAAAGTTGTGCACCAGGGTATTGACCTGGTGTTCTTTCAATATGACAGAGTTTATTCAGTTCATTCCTCCTTTGTTTGATCAAATATGTCCTTGGTAAATCTTCAGACAAAAGAGACAACTCATGGTAAAGTTCATCACTTGCACAGAATTTGTCCAGTAAAAATAGAAGAGTTTCTAGGTTGTTCTGGTCAGTCTCATTAGCTGACAACTGGTCAAATTCCAGGGTGTGAAATTCATTAGTTGCTGCCTCCTGGACCTTGAGAAAAGACAGCTTGAGTCCATGTGACTCAAGAAACCAGAGGGCAATTTCTGATTTTTCTTTCAGCTCCTTCAGTCTTCTCGATTGCTGTCTTTTTCCCAAACTGTCTATAGTTTTCCCTTGGCAAAGAAAACCAGTCTTTTTCTCTAAATTTTGTATGTACTCAGAAAGTTCTTTATTTTTTTCTTCAATATCTCTGAACTTTTCCTCTGTAGTTTTGACCGTTTCTCCCATTTCATTTTCTTTTCTTCTTATTGCTTCCATCATTCCCCTTGCCAAGCTTTCCTTCTCCTTCTCAAGATCCTTGTACCTCAATTTCCATTCTTTTATTTCTTGCTCTGCAGCAGACAGATTCTCTTCTATTTCATGAGGCACCACAAGCTCAGTTTCATAAATGTTAAGGGTTAGCCCTTTCCTGTTTGCCTCTTCTCTCTTACTTCCACTAACTTTCTTCCCAGTGTATTTGTTCACAACTGCACCGGCTTCACGTCTCAATCTTCCGTGGATTCTTGATCCGTTCTCCTTGCTTACTTTAAACCATCGACCAGGAATCCAAAAATTAAGAAGGTCAATGTAGTTTAACTCATTTCCTCTCTCGTCTTTTATTCCAACAAGCTCATGCCATTTCATCAAAATTGGATACGGGATGTATATTGCCAGAGCTATTCGAGATTCTTGAACGCATTGCTGTTTTATATAAGAAAGAGGAGATTCAGTGACCTTAAGTTGAAATTCTAGGGATTTCTTTTCGAAATCGAGCAAAACATCAGACATTTTTTGACGATTCAGACTGGAATGAGCTCACAGTGATACAAGTTTTGTTTTTTATAATTGGCGCGATTTGGCGCTTGTAGGAGTCTGCAGATTGTTAAAACAGCGGTAAAAAGCGTGGAAATGCTAGGCTGCTAAGCTGAAGTAAATATGGCGACTTTTTTCACGAAGAAAACGATGGAAAGTGGTCGTTCTTCGCGTCCTACAGGACATTCGCGAGCTCAGGTAAAGGTTACGTCTAATAGTGAAAAAGCCCTATTTTCAAGATTGATTTGCGGCCTCCTATTTTATCATGGAAGGCTTTATTTAACGTATTTGAAAGATCGTAAACTGAAGAAAATTTTGAGGGGTCGGCACCGATGAAAGCATGAAACACACGGACAGCTCAAAGCATGGAAGTGAAGGTAAGTGAAGGTATTTGGATGAAACTATAAAGGAAGTACAACCGAAGATCTTTGTTATTTTACCTCTATTCCGCGGCTCGACGAATAAACGAAACGGTGAAAAAACTTTCGCTTCGTAGTGCAGTTGCATATTATTTATCAACGAGAGGTCGGCACGTAGAATTTAATTTATTTAAACTGCCAAAAAATAAGATTTTATTTCAGATCCCATACATTTCTTTGTATCTTCGGGAAGCCATTTTGAAAGTAATCTTTGATTGACGTACGGTATTTGAGACGCAATATGACTCGCATTGCTGGTAATGTCCTACCGTAATTTCGAGAAAATTCGATTTCATGGGGATATGAGACGAGATGAACGAACTAGAGACAACTATAAAACAAGAGAATCGAATTTCGCTTTAATGTACAGGAAGTTAGCTAGATATACTCACTAAAGGCAGGAATTCTGCGGGATTCTTGGTGAGTTTATCAGCAAGTTGTTCATCAAAGCTTGTCAGATCTTGCAGATCAACTTCAAGGTAATACTGCCCCAAATTATAGTGTCTCTTTAGCTGATCACTGAACAAAAAAGAAAGGATAAACATTAATCAGTGACGAAGATCTGATTTCAAGGGATCAGATCAAACTCGGGCAAAATATTTCGTTAGCAAAGCACATGGCAGCTTGGCTAAAAAACCAGCAGCGAGATTAAGGAATACAAACCCTTATTCCTTGTCATATTATGAAGACAAACGATTCTAGAAAAGCTCCACTAAAGTTTTGTTTAACTACTAGCCTTTAAAACCCAATTATTCTATCGCAAAGCACGATTTTTTTTACCATACATGAACTTTCGTAGAGCATGCTACAGTGCCCCATTTTGCTTACCGATACGCATAGCTGAAAGTTCCTTCGTGGAATTCACGGATAAACTCCCCAAATCGCTTCTTGGCACTGATTCTGTTCACTTCTCGCTCATCTGCTTGTTCCTCAGAGCCAAAAGCATCGCTGAAGTAAACCGGGCGCTCGTCAAATCCAGACATTCCTGCGAAATTCGCCAACTGATCGCTCCTTGCTTCTTCGCGGGAGAACAAATTTGGCGGGAAATGCAAGGTCGGTTACTTCTGTGATTGGTAGCCATTCGGATCATGTGATCAAGAATTCATGAGTTCTCTCCCTGCTAGGGAGGGGAAAGTAGTTCTCGCCTTTTCTTATTCATCTTACGTAAGGTTACGCCATCTTCGCGCGATCTCGAGGCAATCGTCCGCCCTTGTTCCCCTAGGGTGAAGCGCGCTGAAATAGTACTTCCGCCCTGTGGTGTTTTGCCTCGAAGAGCCTTTCCTTTCTTGGCTGCGTGAACAAAATGGATCGAACGGTCTGGCTAGGAAGACGGTCATTCCCTTGGACCGTCTGACTCACAATCCGTTGGAAGGCAACAGCGTAGTACAAAGAGGGCAAAATGAATTCTGTTTTCGATTCTTCGGAGGAGAAAACAAATGGCACAAAGCTGTTACGACTGGTAGTTGATGGAGGCACACATGTTCTGAGAGAGTACTTACAGCGATGTATTGTTCCGCCTTCAACACTGCAAGACGTTCTCAACAAACACAGGGGAAAGCTTCGACACTTAAAATCTAAGAAGATAATTACCAACAATCAGATGGATCAGTTATTTCCTTCTACAGGTGACCCACCGGACCCTCAAACATTTGACGTAACTCTCTTGGTTCTGTTACTACGAGAAGTTTGCGGTTTGACTGCACCAGTTCCCAATGGATGGAACGCAATACCTTTGGGTACTGATACCAGCGATGAAGCTAATATCGTCCGGATCAAGGTCCTGAGAAATAAGCTGTGTCATGGGAAATCCACTGGCATTTCTAATGTCGAATTCCAAGACGAGTGGAAGACGATTGCTCAGTCATTGGTAGCGTTGGGACTCGATCAAAAGGAAGTGGATCGCCTCAAAACTGAACCCATTGATCATGACGCTGAACGTCGAATAAACGAAGAAGTAGAGAAGTGGAAAATGGACTTTGAACCACGGGTAGACAAGCTGGAGAATGACTTTCAGATAGTAAAGGGGGAAATTTCTGCCATTCAAGCTTCTATTTCAGAGGAAGCCATCGGTGAACATACCAACTGTCTGCCGGATAAAAATGAAATCTTTAGACGATTCAAGGAGGTGGGAGAAATTGTGGGTGCAATTCGATCTGAAAAGGCAGCTGTAGTTCTTGTAACTGGAGGGCCTGGGTATGGTAAAACAGCTGTGGCGATCAAAGTGGGTCATGAATTGGCAACCAACTTGAATGAAGAGAAGATGGTTTTGTTTTGTCCCCTCAGATCTAAAGCAACAATTGGTGAAGTAGCTATTTCAATGATCCTTACTTGCAGTGCAAGCCACTCTCAACCACCAGAACATCCCCAACATTGGCTTCGAAATTGGAGCAAACAACAACAGAAGAAAGTTTCTTTTATTCTGGACAATGCAGATGATGTTCTAGAATCAGATGATCGAACTGCATTTGTAACCATTTTGAGAGACATGAGGACTCTATCAAACTGCAAGATCACATTTGTCATCACCACCCGAAAAGTATTTAAAGACCCCAATTTGCCCACACAACATGTAAGGCTGCTTCCTCTATCGCCACAGCATGCAAAGGAACTCCTTGTATCCAAAGTCCTAGACCCAGATGTGAAGCAAGAGCTCTCCAAGACAGATGAATTGGTTCAACTTTGTGGTTGTGTACCTCTGGCCTTATGCATTGTTGGTTCATTGCTTTCAGACTGTCCTGAAGATCAGCTTATTAATCGTCTTGAAGAAAAGCCATTGGATGTTCTCAGAGAGGATGAAAGTAATGAAAATTCTGTTGAAAAAGCAATTGACACCTCTTTTAACTTTTTGAGAGAAACTGAACAAGAGGCTTTGGTACTTCTGTCAGTTTTTCCTGGCTCATTCAGTTACGATGCTGCCCAAGCTGTTATCCAAGCAGGAGGTTGTCAAGTTGATCCTCTCTCAATCTTCCTTTCCTTGAAAAACAGGTCACTTGTTGAGACATTAGCCCCACACCGATATCAAATCCATCTGTTTATTCAAGCATTTGCTGAGAAGATTGATCAAGCCAAGTATTCTTCATTCTTACAGATGAAGGGGAAAAAATTGGCCAGTAACCACTCTGTTTCCTATCTAGTGAAAATTGCCAATCAGTTCTGGAGCAAAGACAAGTGCCGAGAGGCAATTTTCCTTTTTAACTTGGACAGGCACAACTTTGAGTATTTCTTTCAGTTCTACCTCAAAGAATTAAAAAATCAGGATCCTCAACTGATGATAACCATGAAAAACTTAGTGGAAAAGTGTCTTAGAACATGCATATTTTTAGACATGTGCATTCTTCCAAGTGTTTATTTGAAGTACCTACAAGAACTTTATCAGCTTTTGACATCTAACCAACAACCCATCACTAAAAGAGTGGAACTTCTCTGCCTCCTGGGGCATGAATATAGAAAAATAGGCAATCAAAAGAAATATAAAGAAATGATAGAAAAAGCTGCAGACCTACATTCAAAACATCAGAAAGAATTTGAAAATGAGAAGTTGTCAGAGTCTTTTTTTTGCAATAATTATGCACGGTTTCTCTCTGAAACAGGGAACTCTACAGAAGCAAAAAAGCAATTTAATACTAGTTTGAGAGTTTGTGAACAACACTTACAAAATGATCTTGTTCAAAAAGGAGCCACTCTGCTTTATTCTGGACGATATGACAAGCTTCAAAAGGACTATACACTAGCAGAGAAAAAGTTGACTGAAGCATTACAGCTTTATCAGAAGAGTCTTGGTAATCATGTAATGACTGCACTACTTCTGGAAAATCTTGGAGATTTTCACCTTTTTCGTGGTGATGGAACTCTAGGATCAGTTGATGACCAACAAAAATCATTCAAACTCTATCAACAAGCTGTGGAGATGATGGAAAGCCTTGGCATTAGAGACCAGCAAGGATGCATTATGGCACTTGCCAAATTGGGACTGTGTTATCAATTGCAAGGTAAGATGGAAGGTGCAAAGGACTTATTCCAAGCATCGTTAAAAATCTCAGAACAAGAACTAGCAGAGAATCATAGGTGGAAGATCCATGTGATGACTCACATGGCCTGTTGGTATAAAGGAAATGGAGATACAGAGGAAGCAAAAGTGTGGAAACAAAAGGCATTGAGAATGAGTGAAACACTTGAACTGCCAGAACACCAACCACCCAACAAATTTTTGCTAAATGAAATTTAACTTTTCAACTCCTAAGATCTGATTGTTAATGTTATTTTCAGAACGCGGAGCTTGTGTACATTTCCTCTTATGTTCATTTGTTAAGTAAGTGTCATATTTCAATTAGTTTCATTTTTAAAGCACATGTACTAGATATTGTATTTCGTACTTCATCGCTATAAGTTGCTGTTGATACTACCAAATTTTTGTCTGCTATTTAGGAGTCATCTGCTATCAACAAGTTACCTACAATTGTTAGAAGCTAGACCAAATTTGAACCATACAAATTCAGCCGCATAAATTCAGTAACACAAATTCAGCTACAACTGTCAATCATAACTTTGCAATCTTCAATCTCTACTCTGCACTTTTCATCTGTGATTTCACACAGATCTCTTTATTTTCGTTTGTAATTTTGATTATGTACTACATTTCTACTGGGCATGATTTCTACTGTGCATTCAAATTGTCTTCTCTGCTATACTATTAACCTTTGGCGGTTACAGTTAATTCTCCCCTCTGGCTGCTACATTTTTCCTTGTTAGTGACAAGGTCTAACCTTGTATACTGCTCTGAGGTATGGTCCCCATATTCCTGTAAGAACACTAATAAGCTTGAGGGAGTCCAGAGACGCGCCACTAAATTTATTTTGAAAACTAAGGATAGCTATGCAGCTCGTCTAGAGAAGTTCAATCTGTAATCTTTGGAAGACAGAAGAGTTTTAATTGACGTTACTTTCTTTTTAAGGCACTGAAAGGGTTTTTTGACATTGATGTTTCACCTTTTGTGGATTTTTACTCTAGTTTAGGTTATTATTCCTTAAGACATTATGATCATCTGATGTTAAATAGTAGATTCTTGGAAAATGTTGCCTGTTTACATTCGCACTGCAAATTGTACTGGGAATTTTAAATTTAAAGTGAAGATATTTCTTATGAGTAAATCATGATTTTATTTTTCTTTATTTAACGATTATTTGCCGAAGGTGAGGTGAATATCATTGAATAATCCCCAATACGGAGTCGAGGAGATTATTCTACAATATTCACCGAACCTGAGGCGAATAATTGTTTTAGTATAATTTCAGAGCTGAACAACAGAGAAATGTCTAAAATCATAACATTTTAGTAACATTTATTGACATTTTATTTTAACATTTTATATAACCCGAGCATAGCGGTTTATATAGCGTCATATAAGTAACCGCTCGACCAATCAGATTGCTGGAAACTCTTTGCTCAGCTCTGAAATTATACTAATATAACATAGTATCTCATTCATACTATACGTATTGGGTGATCTGCTGTTACATGGGGTCTGGGACTCTTGCAGATTCTCCTTANAACATCCTTACTTCTGGTAACTTATGAAGTCTAGTCAATAAACATTACCTGAGTGCCGATGGCAAATCTTCTCTTAATTTGCTTTTCAATTTGTCTGACTTCCTCAACATCCTGTTCTGGTGTAAAATCTTCAGCTCCTAAAAGGCATTTATCAGTATTCTTGGTAAATATCTAAATTGCAATAACATGTTTGTGTCCACCACAGAAACTCCAAAGTTAATGCCATCTGAGACTAAGCATCATAAAAATTTCAAGCCAAGGCTTCTCCCAGTTTTCACACCATATTATAAGTATTAAATGTAGTTATTTCAGTTTAAGTCAACCTCTGCCTGCTTGCCTAACCACAGTATTCTTTCCCAATTTTTTTTTATCCAAGCCAACATCTCAGTTCAGTGATACAAATGTAGACAGAAAAAAAAAAAACCTTGTAGGGAAAAAACAGACGTTACACTTAGATTGTCATTGTAACTTGTCCACTTCACACTAGTGTCAGGTAGTAAAAGCATGATGACAGTTTAACAGTGGGCACCTGTCCCTGGTGATCCACTAACCCTGTAACTTTGCAGAAGTAATTAAAATGTCACTCCTCCCTTTGATATCTGTACATCATCCAGCAAACAGGTAATGAGAATATTCAGTTGTTATCTTGATCTAACACCAAATTCTCACGACTCAATTACAAGGAAATTGTGTAGCAGCTCAAGGGAAGAATTAACAAGTAGATCTTGGGAGTTAAAAAGTTACAATTTTGATTTACCTGAGAGGCTGCCTGACATGGCAGCATCCAGAGTGGACACCTGGAAGAGCCTCAGGGCTTCTTCAACATGCGCTGCAGTAGCAAATGGTTGTAGCCTCATCTTAGCCAGCGACTCTGAAATTCGGATGATTGCCTCTAGTTGTCTGAAAGATGGATATTAATGTAATTTCAAGTTAACAGTGTCAATCTTGTGTTACCGAACCTGCAAACTTGTTTCCATTCAATAGAGGCAAAATCCTTACCTTACAGTAATAGGTATGTTGATCTTTTTTTCTGCATCCTTCTCATAATCTCGCGCTCCACTGCGCATGAGAACATAGCGATTCTTTAGCATCTGAGCAGCTTCCTCAGACAGTCTTGGGCCACATTTGCTATAAAAGTATAAAAACAGAGGTGGCTTGAGCAACACCACTTAATGAAATAGAGCTGATGCCACACAACATCTCAAACATGTTGATCCCATTATGTTGATCACATACTTTCGACAATAACCAATGTACTTCTTTATAAAATTCAAGCTCAGCTCCCCTTCTTGGGCTTGTCCTGTTTGGGCGGCATTCAAATGAACTTGCATGACGTGTTTGGCAAGGCGCTGACAGAAGGGAAAGGAAAAGAAAGAAGACATTCTTCTTAAGCTTTTCATAAGACTAACACAAACCTAGCAAATGTTCAACTTCATGACTAATAGATTTTGTTTTTACTACATTAGTTTAAACCCTTTCACGCCCAAGATCACATTAGAAATTCTCTCTGCTATCTGCTATACAATTCTTATGATGTTCCTTGGGAGAATTTGGTATTGGATCCACTTATAATCCACTAGTTGATATTTTTCTTAATTCTCATCACTTGTCTGCTTGATATTGTATCGATATTGTAAGGAGAAATTCTGTCTTGGTCACTCATGCAAGTCACAGGGTTAACTATAAATGATTATTTGTAGTCCTGTCTATCAAATCTTACCATGTCTTTATTCTGTTCATGTTCATCTTTGACAATGTAGATCATATCAAAACGTGACAAAATTGTTGGCATGAAGTCTATGTTCTGGCAAACAAAGAAATTTCTGTTGTTAGCAAACATAAATTATAATGCAAAAATAAAACATTGAGGATGTGCAGGAGGAATTATCAGATGGATTACCTCTTCTCCCTTAGTTTCATCCCAACGACCAAAAACAGAGTTTGCCGCAGCCAACACAGAGCATCTGGAATTCAGTGTTGTAGTAATTCCAGCCTACAGGAGATTTAAGATTTACAATAAAGTTGATTAACATGAGTAAGTTTTTCAAAGTTTATTGAAGACACTTTCCACAATTGACATACCTTAGCAATTGAAATTGTCTGCTGCTCCATGGCTTCATGAATGGCTACACGGTCATCTTCGCGCATCTATAACAGCACAAAACCAAGACAAAAGACAACATACTGTTTTAATCCTTTTCATCCTCACACCAGTATCCATTTTCTTGACACTCATCTCTATACATTTCTTTTGGTACTAATTAGGACAATTTGGTTAACAATCAAAGCCTCTTGGTGATCATCTCCTTGATTCTCACAAATTATCTTAATGAATGACTCAGCAGTATTATTGTTAGGAGAAATTAGATGTTGGTCACTCTGATGTCTTAAAGGGGGTTTACACACTGGATGATACCTGTCACCGTAGAGCAAATTTATCTTGTTGCTATTTACCTTATCAAACTCATCAATACAAACTACACCACCATCTGCAAGTACCATGGCTCCTCCCTCCATGATGAAGTTACGCGACACAGGATCCCTCATGACAGATGCTGTCAATCCTGCTGCACTGCTTCCTTTACCCGATGTGTACACACCTATAGGAGAAACCTTCTCCACAAACTTCAGCAGTTGACTCTTGGCAGTACCTGGGTCACCAAGCAGCAATACATTGATGTCTCCACGTCGTGTGAGTCCATCAGGGAGCCTAGAGATGATATTTGGATGGAGTTAGCAAAGATCAAAGAGAAAACAAAGGAATTGGGTAAAAATGCTCTCTCTAGAGGTCCAAACCCTCAAGGTCTAAACTCCTCTTGGCTCATGATCTTTATCATCCATTCTGGAAAGGAAAGACCAGTGGCGGATCCAGGAGGAGGGTCCGGGGGATCCAGACCCCCCCTATCAGGCCTGATACTTACAACTTTGAGACTAAAATTCTTACATCAACAGGATCGTATATCACTTTTTAACTGGCTGATTTTTTTAATTAATGAATCCAAGTAAACGGTCAGCGGTCAAGGAATTATAATGTGCAACTGCGACTGGTGGGAGGGGTGTGGGGGGTGTTGGAAAGAAGTAATTTGCCTCAAAAGAGTCTAACAGTCCTTTCTGAACCAAAGTTTGGACCCCCCCTATCAAAACTTCCTGGATCCACCCCTGAAGACCCCACTCCTTACAAAAACAAGTGTGTTGTTGTCAAAAGATTTAAAAGCCAATTGACTCAATTAGAAAGACATAGAAATGTAATTTGAATGATATGATCATCCCTATGTAATACTGTTCCAAATATATCAATTCACAGGTACTGTAGTAACACTGCATATCTCACACCTTTTACGAGACCCTCCAAACAGCAGACATGCAATGGACTTCTTAACATCTTCACTTCCATAAATAAATGGCGCAATACTTTTTGCTATCGTCTCATATGCATCAGTTCTGCTGGCAAATCTGTTAAACTCTTCTTCTTCTAAAGGATTCAGGGGTGCGCCAGAACTTCGACCAGGACCTTCTGTATCCACCTGAATGCCAACCACCCGAAGGTAAGGCTTCCTGATACCGACACCCACACCATCACGATCCTGATGAAAGAACAGTGAAGATTGTCAGGTATTGGCTGCATGATCCGTTCCCTGCTCTGAGTTACAGAGACTAAAATTGCAGCTTTAACTGTTTTTCAACATGTATGGAAAACTTTGATTTACAACCTGAGATTATGTAATGCTGGTTTAACAAAATTATGTTCTTAATCCATTGTAATAGTACAAATCAATTAACCTGAGAAAAGGAAGCATCAAATTAAAATGTTCTAATAATGTTAATTCTGATTTTATGTTGGGTCAACACCTCAAGATCCTCTTGACAGGCATTGTATTAATTAAGTACAATTCTTAACATGATCTAGGGGTTTAGCATATCTTACCTTGTCAGCTTTCTGAGCAACTTTCTTGATTGAATAAATACCCATGACAGTGACTCTGTTACCAGGAACAACCTTTTCTGTCAGATACCTTGAGAAGAGAAAAAAATGAGTTGGAGCCCACCTTTTATTGGAAATGACAGTTGTACAGGAGATCTGATGGCTTAAGCCTTTGAGCTCCATGATCGAGTGTCAAAGACTTAATTTCTTATTACAATATCAGTAAAATATAAAGAAGGCAAGTGATGAGAACAAAAAAAAAAAACCAAATAAGCAAGGGGATTATTAGTTAATCCACAACCATATGCTTCAAACTAACATTATAAGAACTGTATATGTGCACGATCCTTCGCAGTAAAGCACTGTTTAAGCAATAGTGAAAATAAGACCTGAAAAAAATTCAGGCCTGTACGGGATTCGAACCACTGACCTCTGCGATACTAGTGCAGCGCTCTACCAATTGAGCTAACAAGCCAACTGGGAGCAGGCCATCAAATTAATTCGACATAAACCCGTAGATGATAAATCAAACAACAAACATATGAAATACATATATATGAACTGCGGTTATGAAACGTATATGTGCACGATCCTTCGCAGTAAAGCACTATTTAAGCAATAGTGAAAATCAGACCTGAAAAAAATTCAGGCCTGTACGGGATTCGAACCACTGACCTCTGCGATACTAGTGCAGCGCTCTACCAATTGAGCTAACAAGCCAACTGGGAGCAGGCCATCAAATTAATTCGACATAAACCCGTAGATGATAAATCAAACAACAAACATATGAAATACATATATATGAACTGCGGTTATGAAACGTATATGTGCACGATCCTTCGCAGTAAAGCACTATTTAAGCAATAGTGAAAATCAGACCTGAAAAAAATTCAGGCCTGTACGGGATTCGAACCACTGACCTCTGCGATACTAGTGCAGCGCTCTACCAATTGAGCTAACAAGCCAACTGGGAGCAGGCCATCAAATTAATTCGACATAAACCCGTAGATGATAAATCAAACAACAAACATATGAAATACATATATATGAACTGCGGTTATGAAACGTATATGTGCACGATCCTTCGCAGTAAAGCACTATTTAAGCAATAGTGAAAATCAGACCTGAAAAAAATTCAGGCCTGTACGGGATTCGAACCACTGACCTCTGCGATACTAGTGCAGCGCTCTACCAATTGAGCTAACAAGCCAACTGGGAGCAGGCCATCAAATTAATTCGACATAAACCCGTAGATGATAAATCAAACAACAAATATATATGAAATACATATATATGAACTGCGGTTATGAAACGTATATGTGCACGATCCTTCGCAGTAAAGCACTATTTAAGCAATAGTGAAAATCAGACCTGAAAAAAATTCAGGCCTGTACGGGATTCGAACCACTGACCTCTGCGATACTAGTGCAGCGCTCTACCAATTGAGCTAACAAGCCAACTGGGAGCAGGCCATCAAATTAATTCGACATAAACCCGTAGATGATAAATCAAACAACAAA